TATCAAAGTGATCAAATTACAAAACCTCGTCTGCATATAAATTGTTTTATGACTTTTCTGCTGGTTTAATATTTTAGAGAATTTTATTTTAAATCCTGAATATTTTTGATTTGACTCATCCAGTACTATTTGCAAAAAATATTTTTATAGACTTTTTAAATTCGAAAGATTTAAGTTAATAAGCTTCACCTTTTAAGTATTGAATTTAATGCTTCTAAGACCAATGGGCACTTACTCTTGCTTCTATCGCCACAGATTAAAAACGAATCATAGACTATCGTGCAGATATAATCGCATAATCAACTTCGTGCATATAATATTTTTTTTTTATTTTAGAGTATTTGTTATGTTCAATAGACAAACGTTTTCATTATTTTGAGAGTTTGTAATAAAGTAAATCCATTTATAGAATTGATATTGTCTCTATTCAGACTTTACACGCGTTGTACTGCTCAAAAGCTTTTGGACAGGACATTGCCAGTAATATAATTTATTTCTGTTCTTTTGTTTGGATAGTAAATCGTAATTTTACTTACTGTGTTGCTAATACTCAATATAATACAATAAGTGAGAGCATTTACCTAGAGGATAGTAACTATTTTAAAAATTTCATAAATAATGTTGTTAAATATCCCATCTTTGTGATTAGTATATAAAATCAATTTTCATCCACATTTCTTATAACCGGACACAGTTCATAATTGGTCATAATAGTATAAATGCAAAATTGTTTTTAATCGTTAAAAATATAGCCAATTAAATATATAATTTATGAAGATGGTTTAATAGACGCAATAAATTCTTTTAGCGCTACATATTTTATTGACATTTTTAAATATACATGCCAGACGGGATTTTATTGAAGGCCGTGACGATATTTTAGGCCTATATTCTAAAATTGGGCCGTTCCAACGCACACATAATCCGTTATCATACATCACACGAACACTTAAAATGTACACAAAGCGTTGGAACTTCCAAGTTGTTAGCATAACGCCCTCCCGAGATGAGGGTCACGAATATTAACATTTACATAACTCTGAGGCTTGGGAAATCATTACGACAAAACGTTGCCTCTTCGGTATTAGGATTCTATGTGGTTAGTAAAGCGTATTACGAACACATTGTTGAGATGCAAACAAACCGAACCATCCGAAGGAAATAGTAACATCTATACTATCTATACTTCTATACTATACGAGTATATCTATATCTATACCAATATAATAAAGCGTAAGCACACACTACTTTGTGGCGTAGGATATCTGCAATAACAGCATGTTTTGGAATAACTCTTTAGTGAAAAGCCCTACACCTACGACAAGCTTTAGGCTATATATTTTCACGCTATTAAACTTTGGGGGTAAATTAATTGAAAAAAAATGTCCATGCGATACCTAACGCAAAATATTTACGTTAAAATCATATTCGAAAGTATTGCATTCAACAAAAGTGCGAATTTCCTTTAAGGTTGTTATTAAAGTTATGATTAAATGTGATGCTTTATTTTGCAGTGACTTAAAATAAACGTTCGACAAGTTCGTAAAAGACTGTATTTTTTTTCCGTCTGTGGATTTGGCCATATTTAGTACATCTTTATAGATCTACTAAAAAGCCTAACATGTTAATGCTTGAAATTGAGTGTTAGGTAGTCTGAATGTAAAGTGCCGAAGTTTCCTATGGGTTCCACGGAGATCCCGCAATCCTCTTCTATTGCAATAGAGGCTGGCCACCGAAAGAGTTTTAGTGGGCACAAACCTCACATAACCCTCTCTTCCCCCCAGAAGGAAGGGTATCTTTTTGAAGATTTCCCCCCGCGGTACCAAAAAAAGGTAGTCTGAAGAATATTAATGACATTTTTTAAATAGACTTCATTTTTTTATTTGCGGCCAGTAGTCTCAATTTGTAGAAAGTAAACGTATATGTTTTTAATTAAGAGGCGAGAGTGCGATCCGTATGTGCGATATGTGATAAGCGGACCATAACTGTTGCTGAAACTGGTTCACATGTGTATACAGTCGGTAAAGTTTTTCAAGATTGTAAGGTCTAATACACACTAGCGCAGACGCGAAGCGTCCCTCTACGGCCTATTCATCCATTTTTTACACAAATTAATTCGTTGCCTGTGGTAGGAATTTACTGTTAATTTTATACTACACTCGCTGTTGTTCGCGACTTCGCACTCGTGAAATGAATAACAAAAATGTAGCCTATGTTACTCACTGATAACGCTACTTTTTAATGGTGAAAGATTTTTTGCAATCAGCCCAGTAGTTTTTGAGTTATCTCGATACATATAAAAATATAAATCTTACCTGTTTATAATATTAGTATAGACTAAGGGAAAACACCTTACGACCGTATATACTATTCATTTAGGTAGTGCGTAGTTATTCTACCTTTGCTTGTAATTTATTGATGAAATCTAGATTAATATTGTAGTCGAAAACGTGCCCTGAAAATATGCTTGGCTTTTGCCCCAGTGTGAATTAAACCTTTGTAATGGCGAGGGAAAGTATGCGCATCGTATTCATACAGATAAAATGTAACTGTAATTTTTATTGTGATTCCTTGTGAAACAGGATAAATTAGTTTGTCCTAAATTTGAAGCTAGGATTTAATTTGCTTCAATAAGGTTAGTTTAGTTAATACAAGAAGTTTTTAGAAAACTGTACTTGGATATTATTAGGAAAATTAGTTTGCAGGTAAATGGATATTCTTTGAAGTCAATAGATTACTTAAAATAATTCCTTTATTACGTTAAATTTTAAAGCGTGTTTAAGAAACTTCTAAATAAAATTCCTTAATTATTAAACTATCAAACCAAAAACGTTTTTTTGTTATGACATAATTATTATAAAGACGTTTTATGGATGTCATATGTCACTTTTGTCTATGGTTTGTGACATATTTCATTTGTAATTATTTTAGTAAAATAATGTTTAAATGCTGCATGAATTTCAAAAAATCCAAGGCCACCGTAGAAGGCATGTATTGAAATCGATTTATATTCTTTAAAATCCGGACGGACTAACCGTCCGGATTGACGAAATGCTGAAGAAGTGCTGTATTACGAGCATCTGAAATCAACGTGCATGTAAGCCTAGATGTATGAATGTAGAAGCAATGAGGTAAGGAGGTAGAAAAGAAAGATGATCAACTAAATGGAGATCCGTGGTCTCTGTCTACCCCTCTCGTTAACAGGCGTTATTATGCTGTCGCGTAAAAATCTGCACCAAAGTCAGACACTTTTAAATAAATAATGGTGATAATTGATAAAAAAAAAAAACTGTTAAAATTGATCGCCGCCTGTGCCTTCCTTACTTGTAACTGCAATTACTATTAAGATGACCAGTTATATGTACTACTTTTGCAGACCAATTAAGTTACACAAAAAAGTTGAAGACGCTTTAAAAAACAAGCTGTCACTGTTTTTCCCTAATGGCGTGGACAGGCCCTTAGTATCAAAATTCAGTTTAATTTATTTGAACTGTTCTGTCAGACGAGCTGGTTATGTTAATGCAATAAAGTGAATAACATTCAATAAAGAAACAGTCGTTTAATTAATTGCAGACGATAAAGTTTGGCGATAAGTTGACGTCCACTTGACACCTGGATAGTGAACAATCTTTGATTGTTGTTCATATTTTAAGTTATCAGATTTCATAATACATTTTCATGAGATATTTGGATCATGCTAAATCTTACTTCTTACTTATCTATCTATATCTATTCTATATTCTAAATTCTATATCTATACTAATATAATAAAGCGTAAACAGCTTATTTTTGAATTTTCTTTTTTTAATAAAAAGCCCTACACTTGCTTCACGCTTTGGGCTATATTTTTTAACGCCATTAAACGTAGGGGGTATATATTTTTAATAAAAAGAAAGAGACCATAAGTTGCTGCCAACATCAAAGAAGCAAGGTTGTCATCATGTCATGTCGACATTTGTAATTGATAATTTGACTAATGTAAACAATAAAATAAAATTTTCATAATTACATGCGGATGAAGTCGCACGGGAACAGCTAGTAATATTATAAGTGCGAAAGTTTAGATGGATGGATGGATGTTTGTTAGAGTTTGTAGCCTAAACGGCTGAACGGATCCCAATGAGATTTGGCATAGACGTAAATGATAGTCTGGAAAAACACATAGGCTACTCACTTTTGTTTTTTTTTATGCCACCCGGACGGAATCGCGGGCGAAAACTAGTACTATCATATTATCAGAACCGATTAGATATCGGATAGGTCCCTGAAACTTGTGTAACCCGAGATTTTATTCAGATTTCTAGAGTTGCATCGGACTTGGGACATCAGTTAATTATACCGTTTCGATTTACGATAGTAATCTTCGGTTCATAAAAAATAGGCAATCGAAATAGATTAAAAGGTTATCACAGTTCAATAACCAATACAATAAAATCACAAATCGATGACGTAAATGCAAATTTGATTTAAATTTAATTTTCTTTACAACATATCTGAAGGACAATCAATTTTTTTGTAAATATTTCCTTAAACGGTCATTCAATCTATTATTAGCAGAGTCCGGCTTTTCTTGTTTCTGTATTTGGAATGCTAATAAAGTGTAAATTAGCGTTCTAACCACAACACGTGGGTAGTTGCAATAAAAGGTGCATATTATAGTACTCACGAAAATAAAAATCTTTTAAACGTATGATTAATTTTATAAACAAATCGAAACTGTTTTATATTCATTTGTTACATTTACATGAACGTGTTTCATATTATTCTACCATTAATTGGTTACCATTATCTTGGGCTGTTTCCAGTGTATTGTTAATCTGATCAAATCTTTTAGTTCATTAAAAATGTACTTTTGGGGGCTAACAACTTGAATCTTTTATCAGATCTCTTAAGGAGGTTATTTTCAACGGATAGGTCGTCAATATTCTTGACTTCTAGTGTAAGTCGACAGTTAAATTTGTTTAGAATTGCGATTAACCGATGGTTTCGTATTGTCGCAGGTCTTCAGTTGCGGAGCATCGAGGAGCCGGCGGGTGCGGGCGGGGGGCGGGGGGCCCGCGCCGGCCTGCTACGACGCCGAGTGCGCCCGCACCGAAGCCTGGCTCGATGAGAATCAAGATTTCGTGCACGACTACTTTTTAAGGTTAGTATTGATTTTTTAAAACGAACTGTCATCTTAAGTGTTAGATATCCATAGATAAAGATCAATACAATTGGACAGTTGCAACGGCCAGTCATAGATTGTATGGACTCACTAGTGCTAGTTATCCTTTATACTGTGCCAGTTTGCCAATCCAGTTATTAGACTGACCAATTGTACTGGGCAAGTGTGAATGCATATTTCACACTACGTTCGTTATCAATGGGGGTTTGAATAGCAGGACCTTGTGATTGACTAAGACTCATTACAATAAGTAAATTTGGTTTAATCATTTTATTTTCGGTTAAGAAACCTGAAGTTTTCGCTGCAAGTCTTTTTTCATCATCTGATATAACTGGTTGGTATAAAAGTAAATCACCATCTAATTTTGATTAAATGCAGTTTGTATTCAATGTTAGATTTAGGTAAAGTGAGAAATTCCTATGTATTAACGTAAAATTATGCGCCGGCTTACCCACTCTGTCTCATTGGGCGTGAGTCGAGGTTTCCGCTAATCTAACTTCATCTAAAACTTTCATGACTCATGTCTACAGCGTAGCGTCAATGTTATTATTGTACAACGGAATATATCTCATAGTGTGTATGGTTTAGATATAGTTTTCGCATATTACAGTCTTGCTTGGTTGACCATAATTTAAGTAATTTTTTTTTTTATTTTCTTGATCGAATAAAAATGATTCGTACTGAGAAATCTTACTAATATTATAAATGCGAAAGTTTAGATGGATGAATGGATGGATGGATGGATGGATGGATGTTAGCGTTTTAGCCTAAACGGCTGAACAGATTTCCATGAAATTTGGCACAGATTTAGAGCATAGTCTGGAAGAACACCTAGGCTACTTTTTATCCCGGGAATAGTTACGGTTCCCGTGGGATTCATTAATTTAGTTTTTTAATGTTCACTCGATCATTCTGCAACGGTTCAACATATCTTATTGAAATTTGGCACAGATATAAAACAAAGTCTGGAGTACACATGAGATAAGCTTTATCCCAAAGAAATGTCCGGTTCCCGAAGGATACGTAGCTTTTTGTAATTTAGATAGTTCGTATGTTTTCTAATACCACACGGACGCGGTCGCGGGCAACAGCTCGTGTTTAATAAAAATTGAAATGTTTCGTAAAAATAATTTCTATTCTTAGATTTGTTATTAGACGGCTGCTTGTTTATGCTATTTTTAAATTCATTTCCCCAACGAGGCGGCATCGTGAACTAAATATGTATCAAGAAATAAATAAATCAATCAATTCGTACAGCCGAGATTGTAATTTTGTTAGATTCGTGTTTACAATCATCCATGTTTACTGGAATTATACGCTAGGAAAATTTTGTGGAACTGTCAAATACTTATTGATGTTGTTTACATGATAGCAGATGTTAGATGATGACCCGATTTAATTATCATTTTAAAATCTTCAAACCAACGCCAGTGATTTTCCGTAAACAGTGATTCAAAACATTTTATAAGATAATTTTTTAAAAAGTTATTAATACTTTTTTTAATTAAAAAAGAAGGGCAACATTTACATCAATATTACATTAATGAATGTTACTCAGGTTTATTGAATTTTTAATTTTTATCGTGTTTCTTAATTATAAATTCGAAGTAAGCGGTTCTGGTTCATTTAATGAAATTGTTATTGAATCGTCCGCTTTCAATGTTTTATAAAAAGTTGCGTGTATTAATAAAGAGCTTACTGACTATATTAATTAATTGCTTTGAATGATATAAATATATTTCCATTCACTAAGAAAAATAAAGACGTTAAATGAAAGTTCAAGTTCACACTTTAAGCAATAGATCAGGTTTTTTTAATTGTACTCCTTATATCGCTAAAACTAGAAGTGAAGGGTCTACAAATGCAACTAAGTTAAAAAAATGGTTTAAAACTATTTACGGGTTCGATAACGCGAGTTAATCTGTTAATTTTGAAGACAATAGGGAGACGATGAATTCCATAATAAAGCGACACGTTGAATTTTACACACAAAAAAGTGCACACAAGTTGAACTAAGTACTTAGTTATTATGTACCACTAGTACAAATTTATTTTTTGTCATAGTTACATTTTCTTCAAATCCTAAGATCCTTCTTTAACTCATGTATATTTATTTTGTACATAATTGCTTGGTTTCTTCATTAAATTTCCCTCACATCTGGTTTAATTCTATCGGTACCTTATTATAAAGCTTTGAGAAATTTAAATGCTTCTTTGATCTTGATTTTCAATTTTCTGGTATAATATCAAAAGCCAAAGGGAATTGGTAAAGTACGTTCAATTAACTTTTCAATTTAGTACCCATTTGTATATAATTGGTTCGACGAACGTTATCAATAATTTGGTTAGAATATGTAAGTCTGAAGATAAAACCATCAAAACTGGATTTTGTTTTTATTTGAAAATGTGATGTCGAGAAAATCCTTCTAATAGTCTGTAGATAGCTTAAAAAGTAACGTCTAGATTCAAGAATGTTTTCTTACATCAATATGGCGTATGTGACGAACTTTTGTCGTTACAGCGCCGATAGTTACTCTAAAATATAACGAGTTTGTGTGCGAATCCATACGTACAGTATAGTTCGTTGCAAACTTTGTGCTGGCTTGCAATACCGCACAAGGTTGTACCGACACGACGGAAAAGAAAGCTTGGGCTAGAAAAAAACATTTCGCTTATTTCTGTTATCGGTCTACCTTTTTTTGCAGGGAATCTTTATAGAAGATACCCTGGCCCCGGGGAAGGATAGGGTTATGTAGGGTTATACCTACTTAAACTCACTCAGTTGCCATCCTCTAGTGCTACTAGTGGGAATCGGTCTACCTAGCTATCTATTACAAACTTCTAAGACATGATTTCGCAGCTAATCTCGAGCTGCCATAAAGTTTGAATTTTGTTATACATCGCCCGCATCTCTCGCTATTAAGCTCCTCGACACTTCCAACGTATTGAGTTAGTAACTTCGCACTCGTTAACTTCCAACTTTGTCAAGTTGATTTGCCAGTTTACTTTAATATCTTCATTCAGAGTGAAATTCTCTAATATTCGTTATCTTTAAGCTTTCCCACTTTAAATTGTTTTATTACATTTGCTATAAGTCATTTAGTTTTGAAATTAGGACATGAACTAATTTAGTTTTTGTTTATTTGATTATAGCATACAAAAGCTTTACTACATTTTCCATAAATTAGGTACTGGAATTCCTGGCACGGACTGGCCTATTATACTGATAATAGGATGTGGTTTCCCGTCTGCACTAGTTGATTTACAACGTTTTGTTTTGTCTCTATCTGTCGTTATAAATTAAATTAACTCACAAATTCCCCAGCAATCATTTAATCGTACGCAATTGCAGCACTTCCTACGTAAATATAAGAACGCACAATAAGGAAGAGTTAGCGGAAACATAGCAGTAAGCATAACGAGACAATCTCGTAAAGAGTTCAATAAAACTTATATGCAAGCGGCAAAAACCGCTCGGTCGCGGAATTACGCGGAATACTGTGGTTTATCGTAGAACTATATCACGGAGTCCATGCGAGTCAGTCTTCGTGTCGACTGTGCCAATAAAATGTTTGCGACGACGGTTTACGCACTAAGGCGTAGTACACACGACGCCAGAATTGATTATTTTTTGTTGTTTAATTGGATGTTGATGAATTGGTTCCAAGAAACCTTTCCGTTTCAACAGAAAACATTTTTGCGAAATACCAAAGTACATCCGTAACACTTTTAGATTTTGTAGTTGTTAAAATTGTTTAAATTCTTCTAAGATTATAAATGCGAAAGTTTACATAGATGGATGAATGTTTGTTAGAGCTTGTATCCTAAACTTCTGAATGGATCTCGGTGAAATTTGGCATAGATGTAGAGAACTGTTTGGAAGAACACATAGGCTACTTCCTTTTTTTTTGTATTCCGGCGAGTGCGAAAGTTGGTCTTATAAAATTAACATTTATATAATTAAATCGTGCATATCAAGTTGTAATAACCACTAGTAAATCTTGCATTCTTGGTGTCAATCTGTATGTATGCCTGGTAGTAATATTTCGGTATCGGTGAGACCTCACCTTTATATTGTAATTCACTGCAAGCGACTACAACAAACCTTTTATTACTGCAGTTTGCGCAAGCCAAAATAGCTCATATACTTTTTGATTAAAGTATAAAATAGCATTTACGTGTATTTACCATATATACCGCTCAATATACTGCGGCGGTAAATACTTGCCATAAAATTTATTGTGAGGTTGCGCGGTGCATACGCGCAGTTGCTTTATGAAACTTTATGACCCTCATCTGTGCATGACGGACATTTATTAAGGTCTTAAGATGCTTGTATGGAGGAAGTAATTTCGAATCGTAATTATAAAATGAACATCTTTTTTCTTTAATTTAAAATCATCTGCAATAAAGTTTTAAGTTAGATAGTATAACTGGTACTAGTTGTCATGTTATGCTCTATAGTTTATGAGTTCTGCGTGGGAATTATTTACTGAAGAGTGGGATACAAGACTTCTGAAAGGAATTTGGTTGGTAATTTGATTCGTGTATACATGTAGTACATGTAGTCTAGTATCACTGTTTAACTAAAACATTCGTGTTTTATTATTAACTAGCTATGCCCGTGCGACTTCATCCGCATGAAATTATGAAAATTTTATTTTATTGTTTACATTTTTCAAATTACAAATGTCAAAATGACATGACATGATGACAACCTTGATTTCTTGATGTTGGCAGCAACTTATGGTCTTTTTCCCACATTAGGGTTTTTATCAAAAAAAAAATATTTGTTCAAAAATATTCTGTAATTGCTGACATCTTAGGCAACAAAGAAATGTGTGTTTACGCTTTATTATAATAGTATAGATAACTTCAAATACTTTTATGAAGCTTTTAATTATCATCATAAACAAATTTTCGCTCCAACAAAGACATGCAAACAAGTTTGAAATTGTTTTTAACGATTCTTGTAATTTCGCAACTTTTCCTTTCTGGTAAAAGTTGTGAGGAAGAATCCTGAAAACTCATTGTGTCAATTTCATTTAAAAAAAACGTAAATGCTTATGCAAAATATAAACGTTACATTGAAAATTGTTTTGCTTGTTTCCAAAAAGAATATATTGATTGTATCAAGCCAGGATTGTTTTTGTGTAAGTATTTGTTAACAAACATTTGTATGGATTAAAACTAACAAACTACGTAAAACATTATCATATTAAAGTTAGTAACAATGCACGTCATTCACTTTGCCGATTACTTTTTTACGTCAAGCAATTTATGTTGCACAATAGAATCGTTTTTTATTTTGCTGCCTAATTTATATCATACCTACGTCATGACTGACGCAACTATGCATACGTCACATCGTTGGCACTATAAAAAAAAAACGTCATATAATCTTACTAAAAATATAAATGCGAAAGTTTGTATGGATGGATGTTCATTAGAGTTTGTAGCCATAACGGATGGATGGATCTCGATGAAATTTGGCATAGATGTAGAGGATAGTCTAGAAGAGCACATATGCTTTGTACTTTTGTTTTTTCTTATTCCACGCGATCGGAGTAGCGGGCGGAAGCTGGTATTCAATATAATGATGACTTTATGTCACCGATATCCCGGACCTCTATCCCACTCACGGGGATTTGGCGCAAAAGGTTTTATAAACCTTACTCTTTTCATTTGTCTCTGGTCTTGTTCAATCTAGTCGCAAACTATTGGTAGATAAATGAAAATTCATTTGATTTTTAAATTAATTAATTAGTATTTAAGCGATCTCTAATTAAATTTTTGTTATTAATAAACAGCGCTTGACCACTATCACTTTTAAGCAGTGAAGACATTTAAAAATTTATTACAATTAATTATATTGACATGAGGTTTTTGATGTAGAATCTGTATTAAATAAATTATCGAATTATTATCTGTATATTTTATGTTTATTTAGAGGGTACATTCAAATAACAGTCTCGTGCAATATGGCGTTTCATTACAAATTTTGTGGAGGTTTTAATAGATATCGTTAGTAAAATTATGTTGAAACATTCAAGTGAAGTGTTAACGCCTCGTCTACATTTCTTTATTTCTTTAGGTGACGTTGAAAGATGAAATAAATTAGGTTAGTAAGTTTTAAAGTGAAAGCATTCCTTGAAATTAAATAAAGTTACTCTCTATTTACGTGTCGTTTTCTAAACGAAAAGAGATCGTGACTTATTTATGTAATCTGTGATGAAGCAAGGCAAGGCGTTGTATCGGGCATTGTCCTTCGATTCTGTTATTGAGTAATCTGTTACCTAAGGACAAGTGTTGTGTGAAACTGGTAAGGAAATTTAATATGTTTTTTACCCCTCAAAAGTGACAGCTTATCGTATATTTATCACACGAAATATTTTCTAAAGATCGTTTGTTCTGACCTTACTTTGAATGCAGGTTTGTGTTTTTAATTGTAAGGGAAATTAAATTAAATGAAATGAATAAGTCGTTGTACGTTTTTATAAGAACATAACATCGGTAGAAGACTCAGTAAACATCTTAATTAAGCTAGTTCCGATAAATGAAGCAATAAATGTTTTAATGATTTTCACTGCATAATTATTATAGAATAGATACGACGTAGTTTAATTACTTTAGAGCCCTTGTAAAAGCATAAATAGCCTTCGCGTGTTACATTGGGCTTTCTTCTTAATTGTAACGTCTTACATTCTGTGGGTAGATGGACGCCGTCATAAATGTATTACCAGTTAGCGACTGTAATTAAGGTAATGGTGACTTTGAACATCGCGTGAGAACCATTCAAATTATATGTAACACAGTAATAAAACTTCTATAAAAACATCTTACTAATATAAATGCGGAAGTTTAGATGGTTGGATGTTTGTTAGAGTTTGTAGCCTTAACTGCTGTACGGATCACAACGAAATTTGGCGTAGATGTAGGGCATAGTATAGAAGAACACATACACAACTTTTTTTTTTTAATTCCACGCGGTCAGAATCTCGGGCGAAAATTAATGTAATTTTACACGTCTGAAAGACTATATATAATGCTTACAGTCTATATGTCACTAATTCACTGTGTATGTTTCTATGAAATTTAAACGCCAACCACGTACAAGAAGACTATCAGGTCAAGTTTGCATCGGAGTGATGATTCCATTGAACGTAGCCTTCCCTTCTAAATGTCTCGGCGCCCTAATCCAATGGACTTCTGTAACTTTGGTGTTTACGATCACATATATACTTTAATATGTAATTATGTATATGGTATATTTAAATACATATATGTTAATATGAATATATGAAGTATGTTTTACAGTATTGTATTGTTTGTCAGGAAAGCGACGCGGCAGGTGGTTGACGCGTGGCTGGTATGCCACGCTACGCCGCCGAGCGCAGAGCTCGCATCACCCTCGCGTGCCGGATCTGGATCCGGTGCTACCACCCCTGTCAGGTAAATCAACATTTTATTTCTCATTATCTACAAACATTCAACATTTTCTATTTTTAACTTCCTGTTATGTATAATTTTAAGGTATTGTCAAAGTTATTTGTTTTGTACAATCTTTTTGGTTTAATAAATATTTTTTTCATTTTTTTTTTCATTTTCAACATAAAAAGTATTGTGATATTGAGACATGATGGAGATGAATAGAGATTTACGATAGCTGGCCCCCCTAAGGTAAAAACAATGTAATTAAACTGATAACAAAATCACATAGTTATCATGTTATTGGGAGAATGTAAAAAATAATACGTTCTTTTTCTTGATAACTGCAGTAAGAATTATGTCTTTACGGGTCTTAACTTGTAATCAAAATAATAAATGTTCAGCCTCTTGATAAACTCAGTTATTCTCTTTATAATATGAAGAAAAATAAGCCGTAATATATAATGCTCATCAAAGGTTGTAAAGCTAATTTATAATACTCCATTCCTGTCTCTACGTAGTTAAAAAGTCGCACACACTTGAATTATGCAAGCGCATAAATTATTTACGCGCATTATATAAGCATCAATATCTGCGTCTTATCCTCGCCGTAACCTGCTGCTTGGTAACCTTCATCAATCTCATGTCAACCTCGCTGTGAAAACTTTAGGGTTGTCACTTGTTGAGGAATAAATATTTTTAAGATTTTATTTCTTATATTGTTAACAATTCTCGTAAACAATTGATAATCATTTGTATTATTTAACTTTTAATTTTGCAATAAATTTCTCTGTACCAACAAAAAAAAATTTAGTCTACCATGAGTATCATAAGTTGATTATAAAACAGTATACATTTCGCAACAACATTCGCCTTGTTTTATATAAAATTTCAACATTTCCGTTATTTCAGTTCTAAATCGCTCCCATCGTTATAAAGAATCGTGACTTCGTTGTGGAAGATTGTCCACAATATACCGTTAAAGCAAAGCCGCTGCAATTCGTGTGCACCGCAGTTTCCTGCTATTTCGCACCGTTCTCTTGCAACTAACTTTTATGTGGCAGTTAAATTTTCTTAAACATTTTGAAGAATATAGAGCTTTTTTAGTATTTTCAATAAAACTTAGAATGCACACTTAAAATGTTAAAAAAAAATCTATAATAAACCCGATATTATATCGCGATGTGGTAACCCTATAATGAACTGCACCCCTCTTTTCCATTTTACTAGGATCACCGAGCCTCTAACTTATAGCATTTTTATTCACAGTTTTTGTGCAGATTTTTCTAGAAAGATACAAATTCACACTATCTTTTGTAATTTACCAAAAATAACTTAACTATTTTTCTAATGTTTATGGAGTTGTCATTTGATACCGCTAAAATTACCAAGTGACAACTGCCAATAGACTTAGAATATTTTCAAAGATTGCTTATTATTACAAGATTTGTTATCTTCACCGACTATCCTTATCCACAAAGGGATAACACATTATGTGCTGTTCATGTTCACTTCCTTCTTATGCATAACTATTAGTTATGTCTATTGCGTCTTCCAATCTGTCTATATAATATGTATTGTTCGGCAGGAAGATCTCTGCGCACGAGTTCGAGCGCGGCGGTCTACTAAAACCGCTGGTGACGACGGTGGATGGTACACCCACTTTCCTGGGCGACACGCCGCACGCTGTACCCGCCCGGCCACAACGCCGCTCAAGACACGAGCTGCGGCAACTGGACGAAAAGGAACTCATATTTGAACTAGTCAGTATTAAAGGAGCATTTTACATTACGAACACATGACAGCTGCAGCGACACACCTTAGGTTTTGCATGACGGTTTTGTCTTAACACGTATGATTGCTAAAGTTACTTTTCTGTTTCGATTTCTTTCAAACTCACTGTTTTACAAATAAGAACGGATTATATTAGTTTTATATCCTTCTAGCTTTTGTCCGCCACACCGTCCGAGTAAAATTAAAATAAAATAAAAGCAAGTAGCCTAAGTCTTCTTCCAGTGTATGCTCTACATCTATGTAAAATTTCATCGAGATTTGTTCAGCCATTTAGGCTACAAACTTTAACAAACATACATCCATCTAATATTTTGCATTTATAATACTAGTCAGTTTAGTAAGATTACAATCTTATGAATCTGCCACTATGTTTTGAGGCTATAATGAATTGAAATTAATAAAGTTATCAATCAAGTGAATCGGTTACTTTGTAACACGCTATCTTTTGTTTGGGATCGCACTTTTTAATTTTAATTTAAAGGATCTTAATTAAAATTTCAACAGGTTTAACTGCCAGTTGCACGGTTATAAAGTTGTTTTTGTTTTGCTCTGCTGCAGATGCGTTTGGGAAAAAATCATTTAAATTAAAAACAAGCGATGGTAATAATTAAATACAATTAAATTCAGTAAAAACGGGACATAAGCATGTGTGATTCTTGTAATCGAGAGGAAAGAACAAAGGAAACGGATTTCCAGTTTAACTGATATCATATTTCTTACATCCATTGTAATTCTAGATATTTATTAATACGTCATCGTTCACAATTCTTTGCATTAATTTGTGTGTATTTTACTTTATGTTGCCTTTAAATAACCTTTTTTTCTTTTTTACCAAAGACGTCTTTCATACATAAGTAACTGTCAATGTAGTACAAAACATATAGATGGCGCTGTTATAAAAATCACTATATTTTGTGATCTCAAAATATCTAGATGGCGTTGTTGTAAAGAATCGAGATTATCTATGTACATTTGTGATCCTTATTTTACTAGCTTGACTCAATGTTGATTATTTTTTTGCCCTTTGTAATATTTATATAGTTATGCCATTTAACGTGATTGTTGAACACAATCGCTTCGTTGGGTGTGTTTATATACCAATTTATGTGTGAGTGCGCACCGATAAAATGACGCGGCCGCCTTGATAATAATTATATGTAAACACGACGTCGACTTATGTTGAATGGAAACGCTGTAATATTCTTGCATGTTTAATTAAAACTTGTACTAGTTTATTCTTATGACGTTATCTTACTAATATTATAGATGCAAAAGTTTAGATGGATAGATGGATGTTTGTTAAAGTTTGTAGCCTAAACGGCTGAATGGACTTTGATTAAATTTGGTATAGATGTTGAAGTTGTTCTAGAAGAACACAAAGACTCACTTTTGTTTTTTAATGTCACGCAGACGGAGTCGCGGGCGAAAGCTAGTATTTTATATTGAAGAAAATGTTTTTTGGCAATTTAAAGAAATGTCTATTATAATAAATGTTTTCACGACAGAAACACACACATTCACACTGTATAAAACAAATTTTATATAAACTTTAAATAAATTACTTTGAGTACTCCTTTATCTTTTTAAAAAAGTCATACTAAAACATTGAAGTAGGTAAAAGTTTTATCTAGAACACTCGTAATAAAAATAAATTAGCTAATTAAAACTAGTTTCCACAATGTAGAGTATCATTTCAAATGCAGTTTTAAAAACTTCCCCAGCGCAGCGTTCCCTGAATTGAGATAAATTTTAAATTACCGCAAAAAATCCTTAAGCATAATAAAGTGTTTGCAAATTTGTGTTGGAGGACGAGAGTTAGAATAAACTGCTTCAACTACTATGACATTCCTTGTTAAAATGTAAAATATTTACATAGAATAAATTGTTCTGTTACAAATAAACGTTTATTTTCGAACACAAATTTTAAACTACAATTCCACGCTGAAAGACTTAAAAAGCAAACAACATTTTCTTAAAAATTATATAAAATTCTATTCTACAATATTGAGTTAAAATAAACAAATCATACTTTAAAGTGAAGTCGGTTAAAACCATTTTCATAATGTAATTACATTCGCTTTAAGTTAACAAAGTTAGTGTTTCATTTCGGAAACGAACATAAAAGGCAAGCCTCACATAATCATTTCAAGTTCAGTTATTTAATTAACCATTTAATTACGCTACTAATTAATAATTTAACGCCGCTCACCTTCAGTTATAACTGCTACGGTAATTTGTAGAGTCGTCAAAATACGAAGCTATTTCAGCGTTCTGTAAAATTTAAGTATTTACACTTGGTTTTAAACGACCCAATTAGAATTCTGTTACTCACTTCATAATTAATATCAGGACTTTTTAATGAATAGTAATATTTCATGTCACAATATCAATTCTTAGTCTTGCATAAAAAAAATGGACACGGCCCTAATTCCAAGATATTTGTTGCTTGTATAGAAATAAGCTTGCGTCTAACCATTTACAGTTTTAGTTTAAATGTTTTCTGAGGCTTTGAAACTGTATTTACATGTAGAAAACATACCACAAATAAACACTTAGATGACATTGGATTTTATACAGAAACATAATTGAGACCAATAACAGATTAGTCTTAAAATTTTCGCGTGATCGCAAATGTGTTGTCTGGACTAACCTATTTTTTTTTATTTGTTCAATTTTGTAACAGACCTTTGGAATAATGGAGGATTTAACTAAATTACGAGGACTTGTATAAATTGGAGCATTTTGTTGGCGTTTTAGTTCAACTTAATGCAATTAGGAAAGCAAGAGGCGACGTCATGTCGATGTGTGGTAGCGATGCTTTGTTGTTTTGTTAAAGCTACGCCATTATAGATAGGTCGTTGACCTTCACTAGATTTGTCTCGATACAATTTATTGTCCGAGAAAGTTGATGATAGAAGTTTTTATTTTGACATGTACATATGTTAGTTTAAAACAAGCTTGTACTGTGGTTGTGTGGGTTTGAAAATAATGCAATTAGAAATTTGAAATACATTTAGTTAAACTGATTTGGAAAACCACATATTGTAATAGTGTATGAAGTCTCAAACTGATAACTTTATTTATAATCTGTTGTATAAATAATATATGTTCTGATTTTGAAACGTATGAATTTCCATAAGAACCTGAAGAAGGGAATAATTGATACAATAGTTTTCTTAGCTTATGAACTCAAGCGAGATACTATGAATCATGGAATTGGTCACGTTCGGTCCAAATCTTCGATAGTTAATCATTTCGTGTATCAGCATTGTGGAGGACGTGGATAAATGGGGACGGGGGATTAAACAAATGTTCGCCCCTGTCGCACCAGGGGGCCGGAATGAGGGATCAAATCGGATAGCTCACTGGGAAATTTTTCTTCTTAATGATGCGGCTGAATATCATTCCGTAGACAAATTGGGTGCGTTGACCTGAACTCAACGTAGTCTACGTGAACTAACGTACAATTTTACACAGATGGCGTTGCTATCAATCTTAATAAATTCTCCTTTGATAGGGTCAACGGAATGGTTATTGTTCTTTGTTCTGTAATATTAGTTTTGAAGATTACTTGACTGTTTGATTCGATATTAACTGTTGAGTTTTGAAAACTATAATTAAAGCGTAGCATAGTTTTTTCCAAGCTCGATATGATGCGGTTTTCCCGAAAAATAGCTACGCCACTAAAAAGAATTGTTCCGTTCGGAAAAAGCTTGTTTTTAGAGAACACGGAGTTTAATTCACACTGCAAATAAAACAAAACGTATTTCAGAAAAGCGAAAAAGGTTTTTTTGATGTTCAGATTGCTCATAGTTCAAACATTTTTTTTAGAAGGTAACTAACTATTCAGCCAATTGATTTTCGTTAACGGAATTAGTTTACCTATATATGTTCAACATTTGGAAGTTGTCTAAACGATATTTTCATTAATGAAAATGTAGACAATAATTATTTTCATCTCTATTTTTGTCAAAGAGAATGAAAGGGATAGCAATATGTAATATACAGAAGCTATCAATGCTCCAAAGTACGTCAAGATCTTATGAGTTAATATTGTCTCGGAATAGGAACTTACGCTAAAAATGTCTGGAAGATCTTACTGTAATATGGTTTAAACTTATATTTACTACCGCAAAAGACACCTAATATCCGCCTAATCCGTGTGTACTGGGATCATGAAAACCATCAAAATGGAGCCAAATATTGCGTCAGCACATCGTAAAAGCTCTCGAAATGTTCTCGGTATCTATTCCGAGTTCTAACTCGATCGTTTCAACAAATGTTTCTTTAATGTTTGGTTATTGTAAATAGTATTACAGTAACTGCAATATAATTTTAATACAATAATTGAGGAAATTGAAATAAAAATATAATACCTTTTGTTCCGCTCGAAATTAAAAAAAAAAAACAACTGAAAACATGGCCTTTGTTACTCAATGGTAACATAGCTTTTTAATTGTGCAAGAATTTTCTAGTAGTTTTTGACGTATTTCAATACATACAAGAATCCAAATCTTTCCTCTTTATAATATTAGTATTAATATACGAGTAGATAATACCTTTTATTGTCACGTGTAAAATAATTGTATACAAAATAACAGTAATTCAAGTTAAGATGAGAACTATTGTTAAAGCTGTTGTAATAATGTAAACAGTGTAACAAACTGTTGCACAAACAGTGTAACAGTGTAAGTATTCAAAATAAATTTTCTTAGAATTTTCTCCGCCTGCCTTCTTACCTTCGAAGAAAAGAAATAGAGCGTGAAAATGTTCGATGTTTGATACAAAATCAAATTTATAACACCAATAATAATTTAATATAACAATTTCACCAAGTTTTTCAATTCAATACTTGTATGGTTATATCTTTGGAAAACATTGTAGCAAAAAATTTTCGACATCTTAGGACACCAATGAAATATATAGGCAACATTCTTTAAAATATTATGTTTTCTTGTATCATTTGATTTTATTTAACGGTCCTGTGCTCAGCAAATACCGTCAAGTTATTGCTATTACGTTAATCGTGTTTGGTAAATAATGTGAATTATTCTCTGAAACGATGCGGAAAAAGAACGCAAGAAAAACATGTTTGCTTTAAGCCGGTACCCATTATGAATTTCATATATTTGTTATTATAATAATCATATTTTCGATCTTGTGATCGATCACTGACGACATTTGCGTACAGCATTAGCGATACGCGAACCGTGGAACGTGCGGGGAACACCGTATGACGGAAATTAGTTCGGAAATAGCTCCTGTGACCACGTAAGGGGGGAATTGTTACCGAGGCGACTGGTGCAATGTTTGCACAACATATAACACTAGTTATATCCAGACTTCGTCTTAGAATTCTTAAACTTACCTTCCCTATTGTAAAAATTAATTTAGCCCTACTGTAAGAAAAAAGTATCCTTAATCTGATTATAAACGATAGGGGAAATCCGTAGTCTCTTAAGAGATTTACCAGTGACGCACTTATCACCTTATTTGCCAAACATAATACCAAGAGTATTTAAATACCACCGAAAGTTAATCTGGACTCCATTCATCAATAACCGATGGAGAGAACAGTGCTCAGAATTTATCTCCTCGATAATGTAAAGAATTTCGTAATATTCATCATAAACACTTTTTGAAATAACGATCTATGGAGTCAAAAGATTTAAGGATGTAAGGATGAACGCCTTACAGCTCTTTGATGGTTAGGAACTTGGCTGGTCTGGTCAATTATGCGTTTATTGGATACGATAGGCACTTTGAAAGTGTACCAACATAACGTAACATGAGGTCGATTCGATACTGCGTTTTACTCACACACTGTTTCTACGTTATAGAGTTAATTGGTTATTAATGTGAATGTTTGTGTTGTAGGTAAAAGACATCTGCAATGAGCTGGAGGTGCGCGTGCTGTGCCACAAGATCTTGCAGAACGTGTCCATACTGCTGGACGCGGATAGAGGCTCGCTGTTCCTCGTGCAGGGGGAAAGAGCCGCCTCACCTCACCCACAAAACGGAAGGTCGGTACAAATAGTAGAAGATAACGTCCTAGAATTGGTTACCACTGATTAAAGCTTTCTATGTATTTCTTTCGCTATTGTTAGTTCAGCAAAGAAATTGTTTGAATAATTTTGAACAAGTTATATCTTCCACACCTTTTTACTTGCTTGATGATAGATCTATACAATTTACTTAGCTATTTAATAACTGTTATTCCCGGTACTTAACGATTTAAATTGTTAACAAAGTTTGTAGAGTCAAATTTAAGCGTGGACAAAAAACTTAGTGGTAGAAGTATGTTTATACGCGACAAATGTTTGCAGACGTCTCGTTTCGTATATTTTTGTTAATAAAGTTGTGGCACACATAACGCGGGAGAGAGAATTTATCGCCGGCACACACCGGGTGCTTCGCGTCTCACCGTGCGTTTTATTTTCCGCACCGCTATCTCATAAATTGTGTACACGTGCATGCAAATACAACCGCTGTTTACTGAATTTTGTATTATTGTTTAATATTTTATTCAACTCGAGGAAAATTCTTGCGACTAAGAAAAGGAGTAGATTCTGTGTTCACATTTGTTAATTTTTGCTTTATCTCAGATGTTATTTTCCCAACAACTATTTACGAACGTATCTTGAAAGGAAATACGTAGGCTGGAAATAGAATTATAGGAATCTTATCCGGTGTAGACAAAAAGAGAACTTGCTAAAGAAATACAAAATCACTTGAGTGTACCATTTCTTCCGATAGCGATGCGATATACAAAACGTACAGCCAAATGTATGTAAGCATCGTTTTTCCTTTTCCGACGATACCGCATTTTGTGAATAATGACACAGTTAGGTTGGCTATCTTGTTCTGCGACATTTTTGTTTTCGAATGCCCGTAATTTGTAACACAAATGGACGCTAATGCTTTTACACAATACGCAGCTAAGATAAAAGTTCGCTTATCGACTTTTATGGCCGACTGTGTTCTTTTACTTAATTTTATAGTGAAAATAATGGATTTAGTTTTACTTACTAGTGTAAATATAAAATGAAGGTTATAGATATATCCCTCTATACTTCTATACTAATATAATAAAGCGTAAACACACACTACGTCGTGGCGTAGGATGTCAGCAATCATAGCATATTTTAGATTAATTCTTTCTTTAATAAAGATTCCTACACTTACAACACGCTTTAGGCTAATATTTTCACGCTATTAAACTTAGGCGTAAATAAATTGAAACAAAAACCTTCACGTGGGAAAAGGACCATAAAATACAAGCTAACTATTAATTTAGACGTTTGTAATTAAGTATTTGACAAATGTAAGCAATTAAAGTTTTTTATAATTTCATACGGATGAAGCCACAAGAGAACAGCAATGATAAGAAATAGTTTGCTTGTAAACAAAATAATTATGCATAACTGCAGACGCATATGTAGAACTACGCGACTTATTGAGGTTATAACTGTTTTAAATGTTCGGATTAATAAATGTAACGTTCACGACCCGGCTACAATTTACTAAACTAAGAGCGCTCGTACATTGAATTATGGGAGGAAGTCACTCTTGTCCACCTAATTTCATTTCGTTGTCTAAAAGGAGAGCTTAAAGACGTTTTATCCAATAGAATACAATAAAACGACTCTTACGTAAAAGAAAACGATAGCCTTTAAAGGTGTATGTATTTTTATTGATAACTAGCTTTCGCCCGCGACTCTATCCAAATGGAATTTAAAAAGTAACGTAGTAACAAAAAAAGTGGTAATCTAACAAACATCCATCATTTCCCATTTGTAGACTTTCGAATTAATTATTTATTTTTAATGTGATGTAGTATTCTTGTACAACGAGAGTACAATGCCGTTGAATCGAATAAGTCGTCCCGTTGAAGTCTTTTTTCCACTTCTTTATGCCACCCGAGGGCACCCTTTGTTGTTTTTATGCAAATGAAAATTCACAGCGCTTTTACGGTTATTATTTTTCATTTTATACGCAATCTTATTACACCTTTATTTAAATTTAATGTTTTTGTTATAAAAAAGTGTTTTCGGAAATATCCAATAACGATGTAGAAAGTATGTCAATTATGGTTTTTGATTTTGAGGTTTTAATGTCACCCTAACTTAGAGTAGGCTCCGAGACGCTCGTTGGGGACGTGTAGTGAGCTGGTGAATGTCATAAAAAAGATAAATTACCATTTGTGATCTACATATCAAATGATATAAATATGTTTACCAAATAGTATGCAATTACTTACATTGTTGCTGAATCGTTTGAGATTGAATCTCCATGACACCGATGATAGAGAACGTAATAGCTTATTACATGACAAATATACTGTGGTCTCCAATAACTTATGAACACATTACTCTATGAGTTTTATTACTACTTACATTTTTGTTTATTACCTTCATTTGGCTTTGATCCAAGTCACTTAAGTAATACTGCGTTGTGGCAAAGCATAAAAGGCCCGGTGTGAGGCTATGATATCACAATTAAATCTGTCAGAAAACGTGAAAACTACTTAGAAAGTGGCATTGAAAACATGACGTGACCAATAACAGTACGAAGAGAATCCTGTGACATTTTTTAGACATTTACAGGGCCCTCGTGAGCTGTCATAATTTCGTTTTAGGCCTAGCAGGTTTGATATCCTCGACGGTCTATACCTTACTGACGATTAGATAAAGAGCAGGCTTTCAGAGCAGTACGTCTTCGGTTACACACTCCATTTGACAATTACAATGTAATGTATGTGTCCATTTGTCTAATTTATAACATAAACTTAGTATGTATCTTCGGCTCTAGAGGAATTTCTTAAAGAATAGTTGATAAAACTTCCAGAAAAACTACAACACTGACATCATCCTCTTTAAAAAATAAATCGAGATAATACCTTTTTGTATGTTTTTGGCAGTGAAAATACTCTATAATATTTTCCAAGAAGTCGAACCAACACGTTAAGATCCAATGTAGACAATGAAGGTCTCTTAAGTGTGAGATAAAACATCAGAATACCGATGTTTTGTATCCCCTTTGTAATGTTAAACGGCAACAATCCGTAGAATGCGGCCTCAATGTCTTGAGATTGCCAAGGCTACGGGGATCGAATAAAGGACGTTTGAACACTGACAGATGTTGATATTTTATATCTGTATAATGTATTATCGATAGAATTGGTTATTTAAAATTAGTTTGTACAAAAATCTTTATCATATAATTATATTTTATTCAGTTCCAATAAAATACAAAAGCTACTAACTATAGCGTCATACAAAGTTATTTCGTGTACGTGCCGACTGAAAACATAAGCTGGTAATTCTGTGTTACTGCACGATGCTAGTTATTATCTTTAAATCCAGCGTGCGACGAACACAATGAATTCTACAATAATCTTATAGATTAAATTCATGAGCCTGCAACTTCATCAACCCACGTTCATACCGAGGGTTTCAAGTCTACACTAATTTAGTGACTAGGCCTTAGTTAACCCTTAGGCGTGGATTGGTTGACGTCACACATCTTAAGTTGTGTATTTTGTAACGGCCCCCCATTTATCTTACTAATATTATAAATGCGAAAGTTTAGATGGATGGATGTTTTTAGAGGATTTTTTTTAATTTCACCCGGACAAAGTCGCGGGCGAAAACTAGTAATAAAACTACGCTACTCGTATGTAATTAAAACATACTTTTGCAGAAATGAAAAACAGTCGGCATTGTATCGTAGTAAACTTTTTGAGAGGCCAAGAAATACAAGCGCAATCCGACTAACTTTTTAAACTTTGTTCGCTTAATTGGTTGTCGCCCGACTTTACGTCTTTAATTAACACTGTTGTTGTTTAGTCTTGCGGATTAACATTTGACTCCGTTCCTAATTAGCTAATTTGTATTTTAAGGAAATGCCGCGTTTTAACATCCTTCTTAAATTAGTTGGATAACTGTCGCCTTGATCGGTAGATATGAATACGAATCGGTTGTAATTTAATGATTTTTTATGTTATCCTATTACAGAATCACGTTTTATGATTACATGTTTTTATATTTTAAAAATAATTTATTTAAATAATATTACGATTCCCATGGCATAAGGATATAAGAATAATTTACATACATATTGCAAGCGTACGGATTACTTTATACGAAATACAAAATATAGTTAACCATACATAGGGTAAGTACATTGTACATTTTATATCCTTGGTTACTTACATTATTGTTTGTATATAGCGATGGTATTAGTGCAATATTGGTCGGTTTCCAAGCTACTTACTATAAAGTTCTAACGCTAGTCGTAATTCTGTGTGTGGACAAATTTACACACAAAAGAATATGTTCTAATGAACAACAAAGAGTACATAACTTAACGAAATTGCTGGAAGAATAATAGTTAGGAAGAATACGTGGAGTGACTACAAATGTTTTGTAAATAAGAAAGGCAAGTTGAAAGAAAAATAAAATAAATTATGTCATGTTGTCAGTTTTGCTCATATAACTATTACTTATTTTACAAATTGTGTCCAACGACAATCATCTCTACATCAAGACTTGAAATGAACTTCGAAATCTCTTGCGCTAGTTAGATTATAAACGGATTTTTTAATCGGTTAGTGATAGCCATATCTTGTAAAACTTTTCTATTCATGACTTACATGGTATCAATCAATATAAAAGTGTGTAAAATCAATCGAGTTTTCACGTGTCTTCGTGTGAGATGTGGGCACGCAAGAGGAAGTGGAATTAATCAATTGATGTACATACATCACTTTGCACTAACAGCACTAGTCATGCGATTCATGCACAAGATTATAGTTTAGGTGCATATACGATATGGCTGTTGCTCGCGACTTTTCCCGCGTGAAATTAAAAAAAAAATGCTTATGTTGCTCACAGATATTTTTTAATCGTGGAAGAATTTTTAAAATCCGGTCTAGTTGTTTTTGAGTAATTTCAATATATACCAAAAATACAAATTCTTTCTCTTTATATTACTAGTATAGATGTCATAAAAGTGTTATTTGCGATTTATTTTTTGTTAACTTCTAACTGTTGCTCGTGACTTCGGCCTCGTGGTTTTTTAAATCTACTAATAAATATAGCCTATGTTACTCAGTGATAATGTAGCTTTCTATTAGTGGAACAATTTTTAAAATCTTTTCAGTAGTTTTGGAGCCTATTCTATGCAATCAAATATTCAAATCATTCCCTTTTATGATATTGATAGATTTTATAATATCGACAATTAGACAGAAGCCTATCTGGAGGGTCTAGACATTACCTCTACCTCTTTAAATGTTTTTAATATATAAGTCAACTCTACATTTAATCCTATAAAATACGAATTATTTTTACAGCATTTATGTTAAGGATGGATTTTAAAATGGAAATGCATGTTAGATATTTTAGTAAATGAATCAACGACTGATGTGAAAATGTCAGCTTGAATAAATATTTCATACGTGCGAAATGAAGTATTTATTATACAAAACCACAGCACATTGAAATGGATTAAATGTTATAATATTAATTAACGTCTGACTGAGTTACACTGTGTTGCGATTTAATTAATTTACAACAGTTTCGTCAAACAGATTTTGTTTGTACTGACTTATTTAACTCAAATTGGGAGAAAATTTAACACTATGTTTTGAGTTTCATTCAATTTAAACGCAAAATAGAACAATGAATTGCAATTCAGACTTATTTTTTACATTATGGACTTATTAATAATAATTATATTGCAATATTAGTATGTTTTAAATAAAAAATGAATAAACACATTATTCGACAAATTATAATGCGATAAAATTGTATTCACAATAATTTAATAGAGTTTAGTGACTTAATTTTTCTGTACAAGTCTTTAATTATATTAAATGCAATTATGGCTTTATTTTATTGCACTCTGTACCGTAACACATAGGAAGGAAAAATCCTAGTAGTAACCGCAAACACTCGTCGCGATATCATTCAACACATTCTTGCTATTCGCTGATTGGGAAATTCCCCGAGAAGGAAATTCGTGCTTGTCTATCGACAGCTCTCCATGGCTTATTGACTTTGACTTTTAAGTGACGGGACCTGTCAAGAGCGCGCTCTCCCATCCGTCAAATACGAACAATAAGTTCCCAGTTCCTTGTGTACTCGTTTTATCTATGTACATTTTTGACAGAATAATTTACATCTATATAATTATCATCTTTACAATTCCGGGAGGAATTTAGCACAGTGGAAAATTATATTTAGTATACCAGCGGCTCTTTCTGTGCCTAGTCCGTTTCTGTATAGTCAATGTTTGTTGATATCCAACTAATTTGGTCAATTTGTTAGGCTCTCATTTAATCCATTATTTGTGGAGAGACAATTCTACCGCGTATTTTAACGAGACTTGCAGTTTAATCTCTTTTTATTTGATTGATTGACATTAATGGTTGCATCCATTACCAATCCTTTAGCCGGACGGTAATCCATTATCTTATTGGCTGTTTATTTTAAAACTTATCGTTTTAATTAATGTATTTATTATTCGAGGAATGGATGAATGTTTTAATTATTCCTATTACATCATACTAATATTATAAATGCGAAATTTTAGATGGATGTTCTTAGAGTTTGTTTAAACGGCTGAACGGATTTCGATGAAATTTGGTATAGATGTAGGGGGTAGCCTAGAAGAACACATAGACTACTCACTTTTTTTTTCAATTCCACGCGGACGAAGTCGCGGACGAAAGCTACTTATGTATAATCGTAACATTGACATAATGCAGATTAATTCAATGTTGGGTCTATAGGTGAAAAAGACCGCATATTTTATTTGTCGTAATTACAGTAAAGTTTTGTTTCTATAAAAATACACACATGTCTAAAATAAAAGCCCTTAGATTCTTTAATTCTAACGGAATACTTCCTTATCCAAACATATGTTGCCCAATGGAAAAAGGTCAACCACAAAAACTGTAAATAAATTGCTGCGTTTCCTTTTAAGAATGGCTTTTGTATTATGCTAATACCTCGGTAGGATTTGTCTCAAAGTACCCAACATCCATACGGCTCTGTGTAATTTATGTGACACAATAATTCCCTAATGTGTATCTTTCCAGTGAAGTCGCCTTGGCCCTAAAAGGCTAGATTTATTGCGTGTACTTTGATATAAACCGGACGACAAATTTGGGTTTATAAACACGAGACGTTATCTCTATTCGGTCGCTACAAAATGTTTTATACATTACGGTTTACGAGATGACTTTGTAAATAAATTATACAACGTATTTAAAGAATAAATATTTTTATTCGCTGTTGGCAATTTATATTGAGATTTTAGAAAAATAAACAAGAAATTGATATAAATTCGTGTAAATGTACTGTGTTTATTTTTTTTGTATCGGACATCTTTATAGATCTTTTATATACACATACATCTAGTGAGAAAAAGTTACTTTATTGATTCTCAGCTGACGACCAAAAACAATAGCCACTTGATGTTACATCATTCAAACTCTAAGAATTCAGTTCCAATCTTAAAAGGTGACAGCTCTAATTTTCTTATTCACTCTTGCTCGTGACTTCTTCATCGTGGAAATAAAAACATTAAAAAGCATGTTACTCAGTGATAACGTAGCTTTTTAATGGTAATAGAAATCGGCCCAGTAGTCAATACATACAAAAATACAAATCTTTCTCCTTATAACATTAGTATAGAAAACATTTAGATAACATTTATTTTGTACAGGTGTCTGGTGTCGAAGCTGTTCGACGTGTGCTCGAAGTCGACGCCGGAGCAAATGGAGCAGTTGGAAGAGATCCGGATCCCGTGGGGCAGCGGTATCGTCGGCTACGTCGCTGAAAGCGGAGAACCCGTTAATATACCTGACGCTTATAAGGTTCATATTTTTACAATACCCAATTTTTTTCAAGTACATGAATTTTTTCAAGCCGATTGAAATAGACTGGACTTTACAGTTTGTCGTCCTAAATCAAATGTCTTGTAGTTCTAGAATGAAAAAGTAATTCGCTGTTAACTTTATTTTTTTATGCTTTTATCGGTTTCCAAAAAAACTCATTACAATCAAATCTTTATGAAAATTTGAAAAGATTAATTTGTTACATTAGAAAATTAGCAAAATTGTGACAAGTTTTTCATACTTATTATAGTTGTTAATATTTATTTTCCACGTGAATTCTATTTAGTAATCATATTTTATCCTTTTGAAATTGCATCCAGAAGTGTTTATGTAATTACGCGGTCTAAATGGGTTTTAATTAGTTTTTCCCTTGGATTTCTCGTAAGTCTAACTTAAGCACCGACGTTGCATAATTTTCATAAACTCCGTGATATCTAAATAAAGGCAGAGAGTAATTCTATTTAAAACCACATCGTTTCAACATTTCCCGCAATCCTGAAATACCTCTGCTAATGAAAATCCGCATTTAAAAGCTTTGAAAGCTCTATAGAGCTTTAAATAGCAATTTTATCGCCTCGCAATGGTGACGCTTTTTGTATTCCTATTACTTTATTAATTACGCTGTAAACATTTTTATATTACCGACTTTGTATAGAAATTAACACGATCTATTCGATTACAATTCTGTCATATGAAAGGGTCTCAGGAATCGGGTGCATTTTTATTTCGTTGTTTAAACTCATGTCATATTCACTTGTGGTAGGAAATGAATATTTTTAGTTTAGTGCGAATAGAAATGTGTTTTGAACATTTTTTTAAAGTACACTATGCTTTTATTTGTCTAAGAATAGGATGTAATCTTGCTTTGCTTAAAATTCTTGAAGTGTACGGTAGTATATTCTCTATGTATTTCTACAGTTTATGCTGTTTGAGCAAGCCAGTAATAAAGTCAGTGTATAAAATTTATGAATAAAAAACTTACGTAAGCAAAAATGTACGCAGTAATATCATTTTACGAGTGTCATTAAACAATAGCTGCAGCACATCCTATTTTCCTATTAAAGATACCGCGTTTCATGGCAAATATTTTATAGAACTAGCTGTTGCGTGCGACTTCGGCCGCGTAAAATTAAAACAATAAAAAAGGGCCAATTTAACTCACTGATAACATAGCTTTTTAATGGTGAAAGTTTTTTTAAATCTGATTTAAAAAATTCTTTCACTACATTTCAATACAAACAAAAATACAAATTTTCCCTCTTTATAATATTAGTGTAGATAGACATATTCAAATTATACGAATTATACGATATACAAAATGGAAACTTAAACTAAATATCAAGGGATTTTTTCATAAATATAGTGGTTTTAGTTGTCAAATTGTATCAGTGAATTGAATTGTTTGATTATCGGGTTAACGTAATGATGTTGTTATTCGTGTTTTAAAATTGACAGTGCATACTTCTAGTAACATGTATTTCTACTTTTACAAAAATTACTTCGTAAAAATCTCCATAAATCTTTCAACTTATACTTTCATGTACTACTAAATATTCGTTAAACCATCCACGAACTATGAATACTAATACCTTGCCCACTGTATGTTATATTGGGATCACGTCTGGCAATGATGTGTATATTCTTTGGGGTTTTATGATTGGAAATTATCGTAAAAACCGACGACTTTTAGCACATGTCCTCGTTTTACTCTGCACTAAAATGTTAAAAGATTCATATGACTTATGTCACCGATTAATTGTCGATTACGGCAATTAGTAATTGCACTAAGGACGATGTCAACTGTAACATGAAAATAGATGAAAAGCCAAAGATTTCTGATAATTAAAATTTAAATTACAATCAAATCATAATGGAAACGACTAGACGAATGAAAAGTTCACTATTTGTCATTGACATAGGCACTAATTAGTTTTAACTTTTTGTAACACTAGCTATTGCTCGCGACTCCGTCCGCGTGGAAGTAAAAAAAAAATAAAAAACATACAGACGAGGACCTCCTTCTTTTGGGAAGTTGATCAAAAAGTGAGTAGTCTGTGTGTTCTTCTAGACTATCTTCTAATCAAATTACATCGAAATCCGTTCAGCCGTTTAGGCTAAAAACTCTAACAAACACCCATCCATCTATCTAAACTTCCACATTTATAATATTAGTGTAACATGAAGAAAAAGTAACACGACTTTTACAATGAAATAAATCTAATAAAATATATTTACAAGCTTTATCATTGTACATTTTATGTAACCGTAGCTTAACGGTAAAAGAACAATCGGTCAGTTTCATTTACGTCGTTCGGGTGATTTATTTTAACGTATAAATCAAGATACCACTAACACAAGCCAATGTGGAACAGATTTTTGTTGTTATTTCTTTTTGTGAATTATAACTATACAAAGCCCAAATTATGTTTTTAAAAGAACGATTGATTGAATTTAAAATCGGCTAAATAAGGCTTCAAATTTAATCGATCAAATGAACGTCGTATTGGAACGAATTTAATAGCGCTGTGAGGCTTCGAAATCAGAACTCCGTTGCTGTTATATTAAATGAATAGAATGATTTCTGCAAAACGCCTGAGTTCGCTTCGTTTGCAAATCTCCGCCTTAATCACATTATTGAAACCAATTCCGCACTTCATTGAAATTCAGTTAAAATAATGAAACCTCTCAGGCTCTATTTAAGGTTAATCAAGTAGTCACTTGGTGTATTTCATTAATAATTTACACTAAGGGACCATTAAATTACTCTGAGAATGATTTTTTTTAACTATTTTAACAAGATTGTCGACATCATAAATGTTTTATTATTCTCAAACTATAAAAATAGCAGAGCTCGATAAATTAAATTATCCTGCACGCATTTCATGAATAAATTTCATTATTCAGTACAAAGGAGGGAATTTTAACATAATATAAAAAGCTCTTATGAAGGAATATTTTATTACATCAAACTTCAGATCCGTTATTTGATCAAATAAGTTAATTTATTCAGGAGTTATGGAATTTACGAAAGAATTTACGTCATTTGTATTTACATATATTCTTAGTTTGATAGAGATCAGTTATTGTTAGGTAATCATAAGTTTTCATCGACTTATCCTTAGACTTTTCACACGAGACTCAGTGAGTCTTTCCCATGAGTCATTAAAGTAAGCAATTGTGGCTTGTTACATTCAAGGCCTTCTATCGGTTTAATTTACTCTTTAATTAACGCTTAGCGAAATCATCACTAAGGCACGGCTCACATTTGGACCGCCTCCAACTCAGTGACCTTGTCACTGTTAGCAATCCATGCGTGGCCCGAATCACGTTGCCATAGTTTATGAAAACAATTTACATACAAATGCCGTTAAACGATTGCACTAGATAGATACTATAGAACCACTATTACCCGTTGCTAGCTTTGTACGGATTTTGAACTTTAACTTGCTCGGATTAAAGGTCATATTGCAATCGCTTGAACTGTGTACATATCTAGTGGTGCGGGCGAGATGTCATTGAATTTTGCGTCCGTTTGACGTACTGTACCGACTAAACTGGAAAATTGACATTATCATGTCAAAGTTGATACCGTTTCTATTACGGCCCATTTAATTGTCTCATTGTTTATTTAAAAGTCTAGACTGTCCAGCGTCTATTAATGCTATATTTAAAACGGTTACGACTTAGAGGTCTTTAAGAAAAGAGCGTACAATTCCCTTGAAGGCCGGCAATGCATCTGCGAACTGGTGTTGCGAATGGTTTTTAGATCAATTAATATTAGAAGATTAGCTTTATCCTTTGCCCCTTCTATAAAATAAAAATAACTCTTTTAGGACAAAATAACAAGAGCTTTCTCGTGCACAGCCATCATACAGTTGGTAATAAGGATCTCAATTGAATATACCCTTATTAGTTTCCATTGCAATCACATTAGAGGTTCGACATTTGTAATAACCAGATGTATTGCCAGATTTTGTATTGAAATAAGGTTTGGATAGGGATACAAGCTGAAAAGGAAGGAAAGTGTAATAGTGACGCAAATAATAATTATTTTCTACGGGGGTTTTGTAAGGTAAAATAATACCAAACAAATATGATGATAATTGAAATTAGCAATTACCAATCACGTCATCTACACTATTATTATAAAAGAGGATAGATTTGTATTTTTTATGTATTGAAATAACTTAAAAACTACTCGGCTGATTTCAACAATTCTTTCACCATTAAAATGCTACGTTATCAATGAGTAACATAGGCTATGTATATTTCAATTCCGCGTGGACTAAGTCGCGAGCAAAAGATAGGAAGTAACAAAGATTTGCAAATACAGGCTTATAAATATTTACAATTCTATAGCATTATTGTGTGTGGTCTTCATTTATAATGTGATTCAAAGTCACGCATATTGCTAACAGATTGTCGAGATATATAAACAATAAGTCATGGCATTATGATTGTAATCAGCCGAGCGTCTGACTTCCCAGAGCTCTTGTTGCGGTAGGCACAACAATGGAAACAAACGAATTATCATAACAATATTACTTGAACGTTCACGCTGCGCAGTTTATTTTATGTAATGACAAGGAAAATACACTTTGATAAATTATTTACTTCATGTTAATCATACTTATATTATAATGCGAAAGCTTAGATAGATGGATATTTGTTAGAATTTGTAGCCTAAATGGCTGAACGAATTGCGATAAAATTGGGTATAGATGGAGAGGATAGTCTGGAAGAACACATAGGCTACTCACTTTTTTTTTACCTAAAGCGGACAAAGGCGTGGGCTAAAGCTAGTGTTATAATTATTAGATCATTTATTACTACTAATTTTTGTAAAATTACTAATTTTTGTAGGTGTCATTAGCCATAGACAAAATATAGCACTAAATATAAAAACTAAAGAAATACAAAGGAACTGAAATTCATATAATTCTTGTCTCGCTTCGTATAGCCTTAAGTTTTGATGAAAAGTGCTTTCAGACAGAATAATCTTTCTTACCTCGGACCTTTCCAATAGGGTCATAAGGTCGTGACGTGATAATATTTTGTCATTATTTTCTTTTGAACACGAAATAGGGTCACATTTTGTAACTATAGAAGACAGGCGAAAATGTACTTTATTATGGTTAAATAAGACAGCTTTAAAATCTATAAAACCCAAGTTTTACTTAAGAAAAGTTAAAGGCTCTTGGAATCGCGACAAATTAGTGTTCGTATTAACTTTGTTAACTTCTTGTTTGACATAAAGAGCATATCCTTGTACATCGCTGAGATGTTTTCATTTAACTTAGGAGTTCAAACTTGGAGTTGAGTTTACTTCAACTTTAACTTTTGAGATTATAATGTACCCTTTTAACGGCTTTTAACTTGAAATGCATTCTTTTTTTATAAGTGAAAAATTAGCTAAGTGTTTAACTGATAACCTATAACTGTTAAATACCTATACTTTTATAATAAAGCGTAAACACACACTTCTTTTTTGCCTAAGATGTCAGCAATTACAGCATATTGTTGAATAATTATTTTTTAAATAAAATGCCTTACACTTGCGTCAAGCTTTAGGCTATATGTTTCAACGCCATTAAACTTAGGAGGTAAATATTTTGGATAAAAACTCTAATGTGGGAAACAGACCATAAGTTGCTGCCAACTTCAAGGAAGTAAGGTTGTCATCATGTCATGTCATTTTGACATTTGTAATTGATAATTTGACACATGTAAACAATAAAATAAAATTTTCATAATTACATGCGGATGATGTCGCACGAGAACAGCTAGTTTACGAATAAATTTGTTTAGTTACAGGGTTTTAATTTAATCTGACCTGAGCTGTTTAAATCGAATGGAAGCCGTAACGAATCGAGATTAGAATGTATACAATCGTGCTGTCGTTTTATAATTATTCGATGACATAGACTTGTAAATTTTATGTTAATAGAGTTGTCCGTGCGAGCAACCTGCGACATATGACCCTACTGAAAATATTCATACCATTTTTGCAGATTGTAATCAAATACGTTTAATTTTAGATCGTATTTCAAAGTTATACGACCTGTGATAACCAAAGAAATAAGTGACGATTTAAACATTGCAAATTGTAGTACAAGTTTAATGGAATTAAAAGATTTGTAGTCTACACTAATATAAAAGGGTAAGATTCGTATTATTGTATGTATTTATATAACCCAAAAACTACTGGGCCGATTTTAAAAAATCCTTCCGCCATTAGAAAGCTACGTTATCGCTGAGTAACACAGGTTATATATTTTTTAATTTCACGTAGACGAATTCGCGAGCAACAGCTAGTGTTAACTTGAGTAGAAGTATTGTGAAACCAGTCAAATTTTGAAAAGACTACAAGAAAAAAGTTTAACAGTCTTTAGTTTAGTTCCATGAAATATGTGGAAAGTAATATGTTTAAAGTTTTCTTATAATTCAATGTTTTTTTTTGTGCTCAATATTATGTTTGTAAACTAGTCAATCGTATCGCGAACGATACGTATGATAGTTTTACTAACACGTAATTACTCGAAGCTGCCCGCATTGGCTTTCTGCCATGTGCCCGTATGCGATCTGCAAACACGAACGTTGTAAGATTCAAACTTATTAGCCCATACATAACGTATATTAGAATGGTTTTTTGCCTCAATAGTCACTTTGTTAGTTTATTGATGATGTTCGTAAAATTAGTGTATTTCAATTTTGCTTAACTTATACTCCAACTAGCCATCACCTATTTGTTTCGTTTCATTTGTTTTCTTGGTTTGGAATCTTACATTTATAATTTTATTTTTTTAACCAAAATCTCTTTGTAACGTTATTATAAATTGCTATACATTTAGCTTTGTTTTAATGCATGCCTTAGAATACGACCATAACACTCGTGACAATTAATAGATCTTTATCTAGATTAATCTAGATGTGTTCGCAATTAGATACAAGAGCCCTCCCCCTCTGTGGGGAGGGCCGCGGTCTGCGGTCGCCCTCCGCACTCAGATTACCCTCTCGATCTAGTTCCTAGTTCAAATTAAGTGCGTCCAATGCAGAATGTTAAGCGTTCTACAATTGTTTGAATCAAACATTTGATCCAATATTTGTTGACCGACTACATTTAACATATCTCTTCAATATTGATACTTGAATTGTTCAGCTCATTTCTCATTCGTAAAGGTTAAAGTGTACTAAAAAGGATGCTTTACGAAGTATAATTTTCATGATGTCTGACTTGTACATATTTATGGTTAAATCATATCATACATCATACTAATATTATAAATGTGAAAGTTTAGATAGATGGATGTTTGTTAGACGTTCTAGCCTAAACGGCTTAACCGATTTCGATAAAATTTGGCATAGATGTAGAGGATAGTCTGGAAGAACACATAGGCTACACACTTTTTTTTAATCCCACGCGATCGGAGTCGCGGCAAAAATCTAGTTTAATAATAATTCGTAATAACCCTAGTAATCCATAGTACTAATCAGTCTGTTTGACGTAATTTCTAATTTAATCTATGATATCATTAACGACGTTTAACACGATTACAAGATGTTTTTGGCATCCGCGTGAGATAATCTGAGACGTAAATCTGCGTAGGTGTTAGGGCTGATATAAATAAGACAGAAATTCCATATTACGTTACTACAATAGTTAGCACCTAACAAAATCAACAAGTTATTATAACGGTTATAATGGAAATAATTGGTTATGGGTTTTCACCGACCGTGGAATTACGTATTTATTTAGACCCTATTAAAAATGTTAGTAACGTATTGAAATTATCAATCATTTTCATTATAGCTGCAGCACTAAGAATCTTTAATTGATCACTAAGAGAGGTCCTTAGTGTAGTATTCTCAAATGACAATCTAAGGAGGAACCTTTATACAAGTACGACAGAAAGATTTCGAACTACTATTATTAATTAATTATTTTTTCTGTCCCCGGCCTTTTAAGTGAAAACAGTTAGAAAATATTAATTTTATAGCAAACTCAGTACGTCGACGTATTGATTGCCGGTTACCCGTGTTACTATTTAGAAAATAGGCTACTGACTATCGCTCTGTTTAACAACAAACATTTGTACAATCTACAAATGTTTGTTTCAATTACATCGGGTAAAATTGGGGGAGGAAGGTTGTTTTAGTTCGCATCTCAAATAGTTCGTTAAAACAAAGTTACTCCTAAATAAAATAGTGTTTCTACTAGAGATTAATAATGTATTCTTTTGTTTCAGGACGAAAGGTTTAACCACGACATTGACCAGCAAACTGGTTATAAGACAAGATCACTCTTATGTATGCCGATTAAAGATATCAACGGAGAAGTGATTGGTGTTGCTCAGGTAATTCGTTCGCGTATTAGTTTTTATTTTCATATTTCCACTAATGAAAATCAAAAAAAATGTTTTTTTTTATTCGCTCAATAGGACAGATTTCTCGTTTTTAATTGCAACTATTTCACCGTCGTTGTTTTCTATTTTTAAAAAGTAAGCTTCCGAGAACGAAGGAAATAAATTTAAACTCCAAGAACTGCAGAAATAAAAATGTTTTGCTTCGTTTTTTTTCTTCCAACATTCATGTCGGGCTAATAAACGGGTGTTAAAAATACTAATTAATTTTATTCATATAAGGATAGTAAATTTTTTCACGTTTAAATTTGTGTTCGTGTAAATCAATAATGGCCAATTATTTTTTTTGTAGGTTATAAACAAACAGAGCGACGGTCCCTTTACGGTGAACGATGAGAAAGTGTTCGCCTCGTACCTTCAATTCTGTGGAATCGGTCTTCGGAACGCACAGTTGTATGAAAGATCTCAGTTGGAAGTGAAACGGAATCAAGTCTTGTTGGATCTGGCGAGGATGGTGTTTGAAGAGCAGAGCACGATCGAACACATGGTGTTAAGGATACTTACACACACGCAGAGTCTGATAAGGTGTCAACGGGTACAGGTGCGAACAAATTTACTATTTTATGTAAGCAATGGGGCAACGAAATGTACACCCATGTTTTAATTGTTACTGGTTATTTCCACCGACCTGATTCTACATGATCTACTCCGTGTTTAAGAATGGACAATTCTATTATATAACTTAATAAGAAAGAACGTATTTTATATGTTGAAAGCGATAGCTTGACAGCTTGTCACCGTACTCGAGTATAGTAAATCTCTTAACATTGTCAACAATGTTGTCAGGTTCAACACTTAAGGAATATTGGCTGTAAATAACTAGTGGGCGTTGTGCAAACACAGAGAAGCGATTTTTTCTTTGAATTAAATGAACTAAGTTTGATTTTACTTTTACGACGTCAAAAAGGCCTTTACTTTTAATCGATTCATATTTAATTTGCTTTTAAATTGGATGTAGACTTTGTCTTCGCCTTATTACCAAAATATGTTTGTTAGTGCAATAATTTCGATACTTTATGGATAAAATATTTGGACGTATCGAAATTTGATAAGACATCTTAATAACATATGAAATGAATTAGGATCATAATCTTAAAACCTGATTTAAAACCATAATCCTTTATGTGATAAAATATCCTTTTCAAATATTGGAATGCAAATTAATCCTCGGAACATTTTCGGTGTGTTTGCTTAAATTAGACTGATAGGCAGCCGGTTTTATCGTTACTAGCTCTGCGTGAGATTTCCACTATGGACCATTTTTATTAAGTTTTATTTGGCGATGATTAAGGCTTGTGAAAATACTTTGCAGCCCCTTTCTGTCCATCGTTCCCGGTTGCTTAACTGCGCCCTAACGCCAGTATTCTGAATTCAAGATAGATGAATCAGTAACTGTAGGTTTATACAGTGGTAGTGCCCGTTTTAACATCTTAGCACGAATGGGCCGGCACGCCCGGTGTAATACCACGACCACACAGAAGACAGGCGTGAAATGGAAGCAATTCCGTGTTTCGTCTGATGAGTGTGGTGCCGGAGGCCTAATTTAAGTCCCTTTCTCTTTACCACCCTTTTCTTTTAAGGAGAGGTTGGGAAGAGGAAGTGGATTTGACGGGGGAGGAGATGCATAGGAAGGGGAAATATCCTCTTTTTGTGCGTCTCCTCCTCCGTCGTATAAGGGTAGGCAACGCATCTGCAATTGCGCATGTCTATGGGCAGCGGTCGCTTCGCCATTTTGGCGATTTCAGGGGGCCGCTTGCTCGTTTGCCACCTTATGTTATAAAAAAAAATACTGCATTGGCCCTTTTATGTAGTATTTATGTAGTCTCTGTTTTTAATGCAAGTATAACTGAAGAAGAGTACGACAACAATTTACTAGAAATCAATTAAAATTTCGACCACGGACCAATGTGAATCTGAATATAATTGCTGTGCATTACCGCTGCTCTCGTTATTACCGGTTATTCCCAAAGGCACAATTGTATAAAATTATGCGGTAACCTTCTACCATAGGCTCATTTAAATACCGCTGATATTATTACGATTGTTGTAACAATTACTTTAATAATATCAAATTCGCATTCAGATATTTAAATACAATAATGAAGGATGAAAACAATTTACAATTCAAGTAAAATATTTATACATTTTAGTTTTAATCTTACTTCTTACTAATATTATAAATGCGAAAGTTTAGATGGATGGATGGATGGATGGATGTTGTTAGCGTTTGTAGCCTAAACGGCTGAACGGATCTCCATGTAATTTGGCACAGGTTTAGAGCATAGTCTGGAAGAACACATACTTTTTATCCCGGGAATAGTTACGGTTCCTGTGGGATTCATTGATTTAGTTTTTTAATGTTTACTCGATCATTCTGCAACGGTTCAACATATCCTTTTGAAATTTGGCACAGATATAAAACAAAGTCTGGAGTATACATGGGATGAGGTTCATCCCCGAGAAATGTCCAGTTCCCGAGGGATACGTAGCTTTTTGTTATTTATATAGTTCTTTGTTTTCTAATACCACGCGGACGAAGTCGCGGGCAACAGCTCGTATCACATAAACATTAACCATTTTTAGAATGTACAGAAATTATGTAATCTGTGCATCAAATTGACCCTCACTTCAGTATTTTGTTTAAACGAAAGAATGATTTTGAATTTTTTCGTAGTTCATTTTTTATCTTTATCTATATTGAGTCTATCCAAATTTGTTGTCTGTGATGAATTTATGTCTGTATCTATTTATTTAGAATTTCTCAAATCTCTTCTTCGTCTCGAATATTTGTCTTAGAGGATTTAAGTTTGGAAAGAATCCAAATGTATATGGTGTCAGTTTTGTCGCTGCATAGATAACATTTCACATATCTAACATTTTTATAAATGCGAGATATTTTCTGTATGACATGTCTTAAATTAGAAATGTATTTGGTTGTGCTTTCATTTGTTTATTTTGGACTAGAATCTCACCCCGGTTGCACCCGGGTTGCAGATATACATTTAAGTTTGCAATGTAATGTTTTATTCTCGAAAAGAGTAATTACTTCATCTGTCAATATGTTTTTGATTACATGTGTAAAAGCATGATTTCCTAAGTAATATTTCAGTCACGCTGGGTTGTAACTAACTAGGTGTTGCTCGACTTTGTCCACGTGAAATTTAATAATATAGCCTTGTTTTTAAAATCCGCCCAGTAGTTTTTGCGTGAATCAAATACATACAAAAATACAAATCGATAATATAATAATATAGATAATATAGATTAGTATAGATTGTTTATTAACATTAAAGCAATTTGTTATATCTAAAATATCTAATATTTTGTTCGAAGCTTAATTTGTATTATAATTTGAATTTGCTACAAGGACTGTTGGACAAAGTATTGTGTCTAATCGACATCATCTAATGATTGCGGAGTTGCCGCGGCGCCACGACCACACTTATCTCGATCTACGGACAAACTGCTGAATACTAATTGATATTTATCAACATTTCAAGATTATCTTTAAAATTTTACGTTGTGATGATTTGAAGATCAAAATTTAAGTTAAGATCTGATCAGGTGACGGATCTTTGACAGAATTAATCGTGATATTAACATCACGCGCCGGCCCAGATAATTAAAAAATTGACCTCAAAATTGCAATTGACATTTCAACACATCTATAAATATTATAAAGAGGAAAAAAATGTATTTTGATATGTATTGACATAACTCAAAAACTACTGGGCAGATTTCAAATATTCTTTCACACTAAAAAGCAACTTTATCACTGAGTAACATCTTACTAATATTATAAATGTGTAAGTTTAGATGGATGGATGAAGAGGATAGTCTGGAAAACCACGAAGGCTACATATTTTTTTTTTATTTCACGCGGACGGAGTCGCGGGCGATGGCTAGTAGGCTATATTTTATAATATCTTTTAATTTCACGCAGACGAAGTCATGAGCAACAACTAGTAGTCATTAATGTTCAAATTCAAAGGTTATATGTATCGACACTGAAAGAGTAATAGAATAATAAATCATTAAATAGCCGATAAAATCAATAATGACGACGTCTGTTTGTCGATCGCAAATTACCCACACCGTGTTTATTCATTGATTCAACTCTGGCTGCCGCTTGATATTCTATTACCGTCGCGTACGGAATTTGATCAACACGTTACGCCAATTACATACTTTATATGCGTTCTTGCGTATGTTTTGTTTCTACACATACACATTTCAAAGTACTGAGTAACGCGCGGTGCGAAAAGCAACATTGTTTATGTTCATAACTTCATATACTGGTAGACTTATTGTATTGTATTCTTAGCCTGTTCTTGTAGTAATGTTCTTATCCTATTACATCACACTAGTTTTCTTCGTGCGGCTTCATCAGCATACAATTATAAAACTTTATTTTATTGTTTACATTTGTCAAATTCTCAATTGCAAAAGTCAAAATTACCTAGTAGTTTGTAGTCCCTTTCCCACATAAAGGTTTTTTCCAATTTATTTAGCACCTAAGTTTAATATTGTGAAAATGTATACCTATTGCGTATCGTAAGTGTAGGGCTTTTTATACAGAAAGAACTATTCAAAAATATGCTATAAGTGCCGACATCCTACGCCACAAAGTAGCATGTGTTTACGCTTTATTATAATAGTATAGAGTATAGATTATACTAAACCAACATCTTCTTTCTATTGAACTGTAAACCTCGACCTTAGCTTCTGTTATCAAAATGTTTCTTAACAATATTTATTAATTCGATTCATAACTAAAGATCGTACGTTTAACTATCTAGTTTTGAATATAGCGCACAATCTTGTCGAATAAAGTAAAACATATATAAAGATACTTGACCGGAGAAATATGCCAATTTATAAGCAAAGTAAATTGGCTTGGCTTTGTTACTGATATAAAACTTTGCTCCAATCACATCTCTTAGCTTTGGTATTACAAGATTCAAAATTTATAGCTGCTCATGTTTGCTACTCGCTCACGTTTGTGCAGATGCTAGTTGGAACCAAGGCAGGAGATGGGCAGGTGGCCTGTCCTCGTATGTTCCCCGATATTTAAAATTAAGTGGCGCGTAGCTTCTTGCAAGGAGTCATAAGGTTTGAATCGCACTGTATTTGTCTGATAAATATAAACAATGAAAGATAAAGTCGACTGTTTATTAGGAGATCCTTTGGCATTTGCCCTGCATAAGTTTTTGGCGGATATTCAGTTGGCTGATTGTAGTATCTTGAACAATGTATCGGCCTATTGGATCAATGCCAAGATATCCCAATTGGTGATGAATTAAGAGTACAAAGTACAAATACAACATTAATATTTCTATAGCTATGTTAAATTTTTTCATCACTAATGTACTTCAATTTGTTTTTATTATTTTGTGATTTGATTAAATTGTCGGGGATAATCAAAAATAAAATATTGAAGGATTAATGAGCCTTAAATTAGTGGTTTTACTTATGTTTATTCATTCTGTTATAGTGATAACTAGAACTATACTAAATTCCAAATGTAAGTTCCTTATTAAAGTGTAAATTTTATCCGCTTTGTACCAGTCTAATCCGGTTATGTACATGCACAAGTGTTGTTGATAGTAAACATACAGGATAACATGACAACTTCTTTCCTAAATATCTTATAAACTTTGATCGCTTAAATCGATCTATGTAACTAAAAAAAGTGTTAACAGTGTCTCCTATTTTCATAACATACATTTACGTATTAAGTTAATCTAAAAAAAATAATTTTGTTAATCAAATTTCAGTTACAAAGTAATTTATCAAAACAGAAACTTTAACCCTAACAAAATTTGTTACAAGCAACAACGAACATCGAGAACGATTTGTTTTACCTCAAAACCCAAGGGAAATCACATGCAAAAGGATCTGAAAGTTTTAACAATTTTCATTACATTCGTGGCTCGTGTTAACACGATTTGCCCCTCGCTTATCGTAACATTCGAGCTATTTTCGGCTCCGTCCATTACGCTAAGCGGACGAATATTTATTTTGAATCTCTTTGTATAACAATGATGGGCCTTTAAAAACGTCTTAACATTGTAAAAGGCATATCTTATGCTAGCGAACAAATATTTATGCTAATAAAACATTATAATGTAATGTAATAATTCTAATTTATTAAACATTTATTGCAGAAACAAGATTTCGATAAGCTTTTATGAAAAATTTTTTGAAAACCTAAATTTAATAAATTATTTTTAATGTTTCGAAGAAACAATACAGCATTTTCAACATGTATAGCTCAATAAATTACTATTACTGTTAAAATTTGTTGTAATAACGTTAAAAATAGATTGATTTCTGAATTGCCATATAGTTTTCAAATAGTTGCTTAGATTATTTGTAAACTTGTTCCTCTGGTGCTGTGGATGTCCATAGGCGTCATTGACCACCTCTGTGTTCCCGCCGCTTGTTTGCCCCCTTCTCTTATAAAAAAAAAATAGAAAAATCTTTTCCTGCCTTTTTAAATATGATTTTGTAAAGAAAACAAGGACGAGCAAATTAAAATGATAAACATAACAGTTCAAGGATTTGCCTTGACTGCAAAAGATTATTACCGATATCATTGGATCACGCGTGACGTACATCCGTTCGCGAAGCAAATCGCGAAATCCCCAAGTAACACTTTATTGGATCATTTCCAAGGAAAACTCAATTATGGGGGAACAATGCGCGGCTGGCGGACGGCTTTAATGGAACTTGAATTTGTTCCAAAAGTGGACCCGAACAATCTCTATGTTATTGCGTAACAATATTAATATTGACAGATGTGATAATGTTCTTTGCGTATTTTCATGAAAGAAAATATTTGGACATTCTCCATCTATTGTTTGATTGTCTGGGATAACACTTGATGGGTTCTAAAAACTTTTTAACCTGTAGATGGCTCTATTCTCAACTACTTTTTAGTTTAGTTTGTCCAACATGGGTTACTCGCTATCGCTTGATGTTTTTAAGTAACTTCTGTTATTTTATTCCTGTTATAGTTGTTCATAGTAATCGTACTAATGTTATAAATGTGAAAGTTTAGATGGATGTTTTGCTTTTGTTTTAATTCTACGCGCACGGAGTCGCGGTCGAAGGCCAGTTTTAATATATTTATGGTTAAAAATTCAATAATACGATCGATATAAGTTGTTTATTTGATTACTTGTATGAAAGCCATTCAAAGTGTAATCGTGAAGAGAATTGCACCGTCTTTATAGTCAGTTAAAGAAAGAGACAGTAACGTTAGTATTTTTCCGGAAGACCTCAACAGTTTAAAGTTGTGTTCACATTGAAGTTAATTCTAGAAAGAAAATTTATTTTTACTCGTGAAAGTCATTTGGGAATATATTAAGTTGTAATCAGTTTTAATGCCTGAAAACTCATGTATACATTTTTTTTTTCATGTACGAGTAAGTGTAGAAAAATTGCCGTTTCCAAAATTTTTCTACCAAATGTTAGTTCTTCAAATAACTTGATTTTTGATAAAAATTATTTTAAAATATTTAAATTTTTGATAAATAAATCGTCCAAAGTTTTTTTTTAAGTATATGTTTGGAGACGTTATGGAAGCGCCTTTACAAAGTATGTTAAGCCTCAGGGGGTCTTTTAGTAGCGGTCATTTTATTGTTATAGGCATACAAAGCTCTTTGAACGGTGAAACAACATTTTATTATTGTTTTATAAACTCTTGTATTCTCACGCGGAAAAGAAAATAGCACACATTGTAAAATTTAAGTTTACGGGATTTTTATACTAAATTATATATTATATTTTTGAACTTTGTATCGAAATTGATTATCCAAACAATCAAGCTTTAAAATAATACAAAACTCCATTTTGCCTTTTTTTCACATTTTCCAACTTTGAAAGAATTCCATCGACAGGTATGAAATGAAATTTTAAAATTGGTATGCAAACAAAGACTTTTCAATCTATCCCCAAAATTGCACGCGAGCTTTTGTAACGGATTGCAGACCTAAAAATAATAACGCCAAAGATTGAATGGCCGATTGGAAGGTATTAAAATTTTAATCTCTGAAGAAAAAAATACGCTACCATCTAAATAACCGCAGTTGCTTCACGTTCAACTTTCAGACCTCCAAATGAAAGATGTTATAAGATTTCCTTTGAATTATTCAGATCTGTAAGGAAGGCGTAATTCTTTAGATTTAAATAGATATTCAATTAAAGTCTCCAACCAATTCTCTTTTAATCAGTACCTCTTAGTGCCCTGACTTAACAGAAGTATTCATATATCGAATATTTGCAGGTACTTCTAGTCCACGAGGCGTCTAAAGGCAGCTTCTCTCGTGTATTCGACCTGGAGGCGGGCGACGAGACGGAGCCTAGGACGTCGCCTTATGAGAGCAGGTTTCCTATAAACATTGGGATCACCGGCTATGTCGCCACTACGGGAGAAGTGAGTTTACTATCAGCTGTTTTTGAATTTACATATGTCATTCATAATACCAGGTATTGGGGAAAGACTATGTATGTCCAACAGTGGACAGATAAAGACTAATCATGAAGTCATTCAAGTGCTCCTAGTGGGACCCCTGAGGTCCATGATCTTTGTGGGATATAAAGACGAAAATTCGCAAGCTAAAATGGTTTAAAATATGTTTTTTATAAAAAGATGTTCCACATTTAAGAATGTCCACGAACTTAAATCTATTTTTTTTATTTTCAAGTATCATTTTTGGATCATAATGCGTGGTATCTAGTTGTTTGTTTAAAATATATAATTGATTACTATGTTTTCAGACAGTGAACATAGCGGACGCTTACCTGGATGCGAGGTTTGACCCTTCAGTGGACGAAGATGCTGGCTTCAAACATAACACCATACTCTGTATGGCTATTAAGAATTCTGAAGGAAGAATTATCGGTGTCATACAAGTAAGTCCGACTCAAAAATATGTCAATATAAAAAAAATCATGATATTCGTGCGTAACCATGAGACAATGACGATTTTCATGCTCCTTCGTGATTCGTACACTCTCCGTCCTTTAAAAGTTCTTAAAAATCTTCGCATTTAAACTATATTGACACGTTTTCTACAAAAAATAAAGCTTACTAAAATCCTAAGAGAACTAAGTTCTTATTATAGAGAACAATGTAAAGAGTGTGGAATGGAATTAATGAAAAATTCACAGTGGTGCGTACATTTTATGGGTCCTACTCTAGCGCATTGCGGTCAGGCGCTCGGAAACCGTCTATCTACGATATGAAAAAAATGATATTTTAGACCATACTTTACTTACCATCTTAAAATTAAAATTAACAAAGTTTCACACTTTTCACCTACTTTGACTTGCGACACTACATTTTTTTATAATACAAGGTGACAAAGGAGCAATCGGCCACTGGATGTCGCTAATAGCAAAGCTATCTTTGCCCATAGACATCCGCCATTGCACATTTATCTGCGATATATGTATTATAGTTCATGCATTTATTAAATTTAAATAAATTTAAAAACGTTTTAATAAAGTTAAGTTAATCGTTTTATCCGGTGCAAATATTTTGTATTATTTATCACTGTCGATGCAAATTTGCGCATTGCGACAATAGTTTCCCTGCATAAGCCATTTGATAGTTATTTTTTAGGATATAGACAGTGGTGTTTGTGTGTAAGCAATTTAGTTACATTCTCTCTAGGCTTTAAAATTCCGAATACGCTAGAAAAGGAACCGTCGAGGGAATATGCATTTAAAACTCGAATAAAAAACAGTTTGGTGAAAAAAATGATGTCATGGGTGGGAAATTGTTAAAATTCATGAATTTTTTAAACATAAAGTGAAATCAATTGACGTTTTGCTTTTACAGAATAATCAGGACCTGTCCCACCATATGTCCATATGTCCATGGATGTATAATCCAATAAGTAAAATATGTGATGGAAATATTGAATTTTGTTCCCTTATCTGACAGTGACGTCATTTTTAAGCTATCTGAGCCTCTATCAGCCAGTAGTGGGAAAGCCCCAAAACTTGTTTTTTTTTAATGTAATGTTATTAAAAGGTGTTAAAAGGTTTATAATAATACAATTTAAATCAAAAGTTGGTCATTTAAATGTTAGTTTTGTTTCGACTAGCATGTTGGCCGTCCAAAGTTTTTGATTAGAGAAATTATCGGACTGGAAAATTGAGGTGGAAATTTTCATTTAACTTTTTAACCCTCGACGGAATTCCAAATGGCGAATGTTTATTTGTTCTGTGACTTGTTGAAGTTGAGGTCGGTGATTATTTTTTAATTAAATAAGGAATTCCCAGTAAAACTTGATGCCAGTTTAAGTTTGTGATTGTACGAAAATAATCTGCTTTTAAACAACGAAGTTTCACCAATGTCACAAACATTAACTCGCAAAACTTGACGTCACAGAGATTAATTAGTAATATTCCAATTATAGGGTTGCCATTTCACTTTCGAAATTATATAATCTACTAGCTTTCGCCCGCGATTCCGTCCGCGTGGAATTATCCTCTACATCTGTACCAAATTTCATCGAAATCCCTTCAGCCGTTTAAGCTACAAGCTCTGACAATCCATCCGTCCATTCATCTAAACTTTGGCATTTATAATATTAAGGGCCTAGCCCGCCACTGGCTGATAGAGGCTCAGATAGCTTAAAAATGACGTCACTGTTAGATAAGGTAACAAAATCCGATATTTCCGTCACATATTTTATACGTTGGATTATTATCAGACAATTTGGTGGGACAGGCCCTAAGTGAGATAACTAATAATATAGATATGCGTTCATTGTATATAAAATAAGTAATATAGTGTTTTTTTTTCTAGCTTGTGAACAAATTCGACGGGCTATTATTTACAAAGAACGATGAGAATTTCGTGGAGGCGTTCGCGATATTCTGCGGCATGGGCATACACAACACACACATGTATGAGAAGGCTATCACTGCTATGGCCAAGCAAAGTGTCACCCTCGATGTAAGTATACATTGATTGTTGTGTATGTTATGTTGATGTTATATTCTAAACAAAACACGCAATGTACTTTAAACGAAAGTCTCGTATGTAAACATTCGTATTGCTATCGCAGTTTCTTTAATGTGAATAACAGGGATGACTATATAACGTTTCTGTACAAGTATAAGTACACTTTGTTAATCTTTAGTATAATATGGTAATTCATGGTTTCAGGTTTTAAGTTACCACGCATCCGCGTCTATAGATGATGCTCAGAGGTTACGGGTAAGTGGTTTTTTGTTTTAAATAAAGCTACATTTTTAATTATAACACTGAATCTAACTGCGGATTTTTCGGTACGAAATTGGAGCATTGTATGAAAATTTAAAATGCGATTCAAAGTAAAAGAGAAATGTGAAAGTAACCGTGATATCTTATTAAAGTTGCAGATACCTTTACTTGTGAAATATTCATCTACTTTGTAGAGGATTTCTTAGCACAAGTTTATCTTGTATATTTATAAAAACTCGCTTCGTTTCAAAAGTGAACGAATACAATGAACAATTCATATAAGGTTTCTTTTTAATCAAAAATAATGTTTCTGAAAATTTAACCTCTTATGGCCCGAATAATACAGTTTTCAAGTACAGAACAATATACATCACGCCCATAAATCAAACGGGTAGGCAGAAATTTGGGATAGGGATCTTACTCTTCGGGTATTCTAAAATTATACATTGACGCAAATAGGTTTAGGGTATTTCCATTTGTTAATATGCTTTGAACACGTTTATAGATAATGGAACTAACAATTCATTTATCTTAGTAGCAAGAACAATAACAAAACAAGACAATTAGTGGCCGAGTCTTAAATAAGTGTAATGTATCACTTGACTTGCGATCTAAATATTTAACTAAATTATTGGACACACAATGAATGGTTATTCATTGGAGGTCTTGTACTAGTTTTGTTCATTTATATGTGACGTTTACTTTATTTAAAAAGCGCCCGCACATCTTTGACTAAACTATCGCACAACTTTTTAGTCACGCTTTGTTTCCTATGAGCTTACTCTAATAGATGTTTAGTTGTCCAACTAAACAGTTGAATTGGCGATTGTGTGTTTTGACACACCGTTGTGTGCGCCCGCTCTTACTATTAGGCCTGTGAAATATAACCTCGCAAAAATAGGGTAAAAACATGGAATGATGGTTTTAATCATGTATCTCTTTTATATTCTGTATTAACAATCGAAAATCAACTTTGTCATTCCACGACTTAAGTTACAAAATTTAGAAATTGCTACCTCATGAGCTTAACGCTATCGTGTAAAAAAATCTGAAATAGATTTTAATTAACGAAACATCGATTGAATGCCGCTGACCAATTATCGCGGCGGAACGACAAAGCGCCGCACATTGGGCTGTATCCAGTTGCTCCATAGACAACTTTATCTGATGTTTGAAATGTCTCTTTTTTTTGCTTGAATGTGCTTTGTA